CACGGAGCAGATCAAAGGGCCAGGAACCGAGCTCACGCAGATCCACAGGGACATCTGCAAAGATGCCATTTCAGAGTGGAACTTGCTGCATACTTACGATTGGGCCATTCGCTGGTGAAGTTGCGGTTGGTGAGGTGGTTCGATTATGCTTGTGCACGTGACATCTGTCGGCCGGATCGTAGCGTCGAGGTGTCTTTGTCGCGGTAACATGTACGTACTAGATCCATTTCTTGCGTTTCACTTCTCTTGCTGTAGTTATTCTTAGCATTTCTTTGTTGTGTGTTACGTGCCTATCGCAGCTGCAGGCGGGGCCGCTCTCGGTCCTCGCTGACTCAGCATAATTCTCCTGCTCTTGGTTCCTTCTTAGCTGTTGTAGGCGGGCCGCTCTCCCCTCTCCTCCTAGTCTCAGCAGCAATTGTCTGCTCTTGGTTACTTCTTAGCTGTTGTAGGCGGGCCGCTCTCTCCTCGCTAGTCTCAGCAACAATTGTCTGCTCTTGGTTACTTCTTAGCTGTTGTAGGCGGGCCGCTCTCTCCTCGCTAGTACTCAGCAGCAATTGTCTGCTCTTGGTTCCTTCTTAGCTGTTGTAGGCGGGCCGCTCTCTCCTCGCTAGTCTCAGCAGCAATTGTCTGCTCTTGGTTCCTTCTTAGCTGTTGTAGGCGGGCCGCTCTCTCGTCGCGGGACTCTGCAGTAATTCTCAGCTGCTTGGTTGCTTCGTACCTGCTGCAGGCGGGCCGCTCTCTCGTCGCTGGACTCTGCAGCAATTCGCCTTTCTCGATAGCTTCGGAATTGTTGGAGCCTGGCGTGTTGTGTTTCCCCCGATTCCGTAGCAAGTCTCGCTTGTACACGACGTCTTGCTAGTCGCGCTTCCCTTTCCTCCGCTGTTTCTGTGGCGAGGCGTTCCCTTGCCCGTTCCCTATCACGCAAGCGACGCCGATACAGACGAGCCTCTCTCTGCTCAGGAGTCTCACCGGCACGACGTTCTCTTTCCCTCTCTTCGACGACGAAGGGCATCTTCCCTGGACTGATCCATGATTGCGAGCTACACACACACACGTCGCTATACGCAGGCAGCATGTGAGATTTAAATCCTTTCGGATAAAAAGAAGCGCGTAATCCTGGACCATGCGCAGTTGGACGACGTACGGTCGTTCGTAGATAAATATAAGCGGGAGCGAGCCGCCAACCTAGTCGTTCGTTCGAGCGGAATTTTCTGTTTATTGGCGAGCGGGAGCGAGCCAACCTAGTCGTTCGTTCGAGGGGAATTTTCTATACTAGTAGGCGAATGCATGGCATTTTTGGCGAGCTGGAGCGAGCACACAATGACTCATCTGCACGAGCCATCCTACAACTTGAACCTTAGAATCACGAAGATTGGAAGGAGGTATAGACAGCCTCGGTCAGGTATCGAAGAGCGCAGCGAATGGCAGAAAATAGCAGTTGTCTATATTTCGCATCGATATGACAGCTAAGTAGCGTGTAAAAATTTGCGCGTTCCCTCTTACGAAAGCGACGCTGATACAAACCAGCCTCTCTGCTCAGGAGTCTCACGGGCACGATGTTCTCTTTCCCACTCTCTTCGACGACGAAGGGCATCTTCCCCGGACTATATGCACATGTATACGCACGACATCACAGGCTATGCTAGGCCTCCACAGGCAGGCAGCATGTGAAATTTTGAAATCCTTTCGGATAAAAAGAAGCGCCTAATCCTGGAGCATGCGCAGTTGGACGACGTACGGTCGTAGATATACGAAAATTCCGCGCCGTTCGTACACCACTAGGTTAGCTCGCTCCCGCTCGCCAATAATTGGCGAGCGGGAGCGAGCCAACCTAGTCGTTCGTTCGAGCGGAATTTTCTGTATATTATATACTAGTAGGCGAATGCATGGCATTTTTGGCGAGCGGAAGTGCGCTTACAATTGGGGTATAATCGTATGAGTCACTCTTGTGTGTGCACAAAACAGTGAGATACATTGCACAGGACCAAGTAGGCCGAAACGACCCGAGCGCAGTAGACAATTCGCGAGTCGAGTCAAAAACAGTCAGACGACAGCGCGAATCAGGCATAATCCGGCAATCTGATTGGTCTTGCAGGAATAGGGAACAAGTGGCAATGTAGAAAAATCTCTCGCTGGACTGTGCAGCAATACTCGATAGCTTCGGAGGTGTTGCGTTTCCCCTGATTCCGCTCGATTCAGGCAGCATTATGAAAATGTTGAAATCCCTTTCGGATAAAAAGAAGCGCGTAATGCTGGAGCATGCGCAGTTGGACGACGTACGGGTACATATAATTATATATATATATATATATATATAGAAAAATCGCGCCGTTCGGACCACTAGGTTAGCTCACTTCCGCTCGCCAATTATATATAGAAAATTCCGCTCGAACGAACGACTAGGTTGGCTCGCTCCCGCTCGCCAATAATTATTTATATACGAAGACCGGCGTCGTGTAAGTGTGCATGCGCGGATTTGTACGCGCTTCTTTTTATCCGAAAGTATTTCAAAAGTTTTACACATTTTCACACACGGTGCCTCGCGCCGATCGATCTAGCCAGCTAGAGAACTCTCCTCCATTCGACGGCATGCGCTGCTACCTTCGGTGACTGACCAAGGCTGTACCTCTTCCCAATATTCATGGTTCCAAGGTGCAACTTGCAAATACGCTAGCATTGCTCGTGCACCCTGGTGGACCACGACTGAGCTGAAAGCGGGTAAGTACCGTTCTGCTCACCTGCTCACCGTTCTGATACGCATGCAACGGCGACAGGTAGATCTATCTTGCTTCACGAAAGGGAAAGCTGTGCGCTGACGGCACGTTATGCAGCCCGAACATCGCGGGCAAATCCCAAGTTGGGTCGCTCCCGCTCGCCAACAATGTTCAACATTTCCACTAGTATATATATTTATCGTCGTCGTACGTCATGTAAGTGCGCATGCGCGGCTTTGTACGCGCTTCTTTTTATCCGAACTAATTTCCAATTCACACACGGTGCCTCACGATATGCGATCGATATGCGCCCGATCGATCTAGCCGGCTAGAACTCTCCTCCATTCGACTGGTGCACTGCGACGATGCATCATCGTTCAGGTGCTGACCAGAGTCGTGCATACCTGCTTCGCTAGAATCTCTCACTGCGTTCGCCAGCATGTCGCGCAACTTCGCTGAAACTGTACGACTAGAGCGAACATCGCGGGCAAATCCCAGTTGGGTCGCTCCCGCTCGCCAACAATGTTCAACATTTCCACTAGTATATATATTTATCGTCGTCGTACGTCATGTAAGTGCGCATGCGCGGCTTTGTACGCGCTCCTTTTTATCCGAAACTAATTTCCAAATTCACACACGGTGCCTCACGATATGCGATCGATATGCGCCCGATCGATCTAGCCGGCTAGAACTCTCCTCCATTCGACGGCATGCGCTGCAACCTTCGGTGACTGACCGAGGCTGCACCTCTTCCCAATCTTCATGGTTCCAAGGTGCAACTTGCAAATACGCTAGGATTGCTCGTGCACATACTGCTGCATGCCAGCTGCTGGAGGACCGCGTAAGGTATGTATATACGGTTCTGCTCACCTGCTCACCGTTCTGCCAATGTACAATATGCATGTAACGGCGACAGATAGATCTGTCTTGCTTCACGAAAGGAAAGCTGTGCGCTGACAGCACATTATGCAGCCCGAACATCGCGGACAAATCCCAAGTTGGGTCGCTCCCGCTCGCCAACAATGTTCAACATTTCCACTAGTATTAGCTATATATGAGGAAAATTCCGCGCCGTTCGTACCACTAGGTTAGCTCGCTCCCGCTCGCCAATTATGTCACCAACTGCGCATGCTCCAGCATTACGCGCTTCTTTTTATCCGAAAGGGATTTCAACATTTTCATAATGCTGAGCAGAATCAGGGGAAACGCAACACCTCCGAAGCTATCGACTATTGCTGCACAGTCAGGCGAGAGATTTTTCTACATTGCCACTTGTTCCCTATTCCTGCAAGACCAATCAGATTGCCGGATTATGCCTGATTCGCGCTGTCGTCTGACTGTTTGACTCGACTCGAATTGTCTACTGCGCTCGGGTCGTTTCGGCCTACTTGGTCCTGTGCAATGTATCTCACTGTTTTGTGCACACACAAGAGTCACTCATACGATTAGACCCCAATTGTATGCGCGCTTCCGCTCGCCAAAAAATGCCATGCATTCGCCTACTAGTATTATAACCACATATAAATTCTTACGGACTTGGAGGCCCGCGGCTTGTTAAGGGTTAAAGTGCAAACACTCGGTGCCGCTAATGATGGGCGGGGCTATTGGCTACTAGCTCGCGGAGTGTCTAACACGGGCTAGCTACGGTAGATAGCATGCGGAAGTCAATACACGCCCTTCTCTGTGGCTTCTTGTGCCTCCAAGGTATACACACAGCAAGCAGATCAGGTCGAGATGAACCAGCATACTGCGTCGATCGCGTCTAATAAACGCATGCGCATCGCTTATTGATGGGTTGGGCCACACAACGACCATGCCAGTGTCACTCTCGAACGCAGTCGTTTGAAAAAAATCGCCCTTTTACTTTCAGGCTCGCGTAGTCTGAAATTGCTGGTATGGCTAATGGGCCGCCTCGTAGCTTGTAGTGCCAGAATAAGCGTCGACACACAGACCACAAAAACTATACCTGCGCATGCGCGCCGAGGGTTATTAATGACGTCAGTCGTGATCTAGGCAGTTGACCGAATCAAGCCAGAAGGAACATGAGGCCAGAGGTGTGTTTTGAGCCAGTGTACTGTAGTACTTTACGCTAACCGGCTAATATCTCCGTAGGGTCTCCTCAGAGTTATTATACTTGCCTTGGTTGGCATGTTTGTTCAAGGTGAGCTGACTGCTAATCTGTCACTGCAAAACCATGTGTAGTGTATAACTAACTATCATGTGAATCACGTACTACGTACTCAGCTGCACCATTCTCATTAGGTTGAGGTAGCAGCAATATACTGGTTATCATCTCTACAGGTATAACACTGTCCTCGTCAGTGGAGTCTGAGAATGGACATGTAACAGTGTGTCCTGATACCAACATCACATTCACCTGCTCAGACACTCTAGGCTTTGGTATGAGATGGTTTGCTCTACCTCTTCTCAACGAAGACAACTCTCCTGGTCTGGGACCAAACGCTCCTGATATTGGAGATCCAACACCAGTGGAATATGTGGATGAGTTCACTATCACTTTACTCGACAGGCAACTGATGATGGGTGACAATCGTGGCAACTATACCTCCACTCTGGATGTAGTGGTGAATGATAGAATACAGAATGGAACCAATATCATGTGCTTTACACCTAATGTTGCCTCTCTTCTCATTCTAAAAAAAGGTATAATAATTATCTCAATCTTTATTCTGCTAGTAATGATTTGCTATTATCCTAGAAATACCTCCACCCCCTTCCAATGTGAAACCAATGACACAAAACTATTCAAGGGAAGAGTTTACGATACTTATTACGTGGGATGACCAGAATGTTGACTCTTACATGGTATCAGTCAATAGCACTACAAACTTTTTTCAAAAAACAACTACTTTCACCAAGAGGGGAGAATATAACCTTCTCTACAAATTTACAGTGAAAGCTGTAAACTGTGCGGCCTTTTACAGTGATGAAGTGACAGCTAACATTGCTATAGGTAAAATACATCGCCCCTACCTCATAATGGTAATTCTTCTCCCTCAGCTGGCTGTGGTCCTCCCAGTCCACCAGTGAATGGCAGTGTTGGTGAGTGGACCAGTTCCAGAGTAGGAGCACAGGTCACCTACTCTTGTGACATCCACCTGGTTCTGGTGGGAGAGACTGTGGCCACATGCTCTCTCCCTTCTCTAACATGGCTGCCTAGTAGCGATGATGTCACCTGTGTACAGCCATCCAGTAGGTTTTTATTGTGCCTGGGCATGGTGAATAATATGATTGGTGGATGTGATATTAGATAAGTTCTTCATACTTAACTTTTTACTCATGCACATTTTCCACCCACGCACTAATGTCACAAAGCAGTGCTTTCCGATTTTAATACCGTGATAAGATGGCTCTGTAACTGCACTCTGACTCATTAGCAAACATAACACTCTGATGAGAGTTTATCACATTGCAACAGCTCCTTAGAGTCTATACTCTGTTTAAAGGAGCTGTCACAAAGCTGTCAAAAGACGTGTATGGTGCAGCTATAATGTCGTATGACCTGGGGCTATTTTTGTAGCTACTATGCAATTCAACGTGTTAGGGCATGCCTATTTTGACCATACAAACCTGGCTGATTGGGATCTGATCGAAACTTACCTTGTTGCTTCCATAAGAAGTTTAGAGTCACGAAATTTATAGCATAGTATATATGCCATAAGAAAAGGTTATCAACATGGGTTACGAGCTAAGAACAATGAAAATGCTGACCAGCAGATTTCATGTACATATGGGCATAATTATAGTGTGGCACCCCTGCATTACGTAGAGAGGACCTATGCTGGCCGAGCTGATTATGGGGGCTGCAGTTGGTGTGGCGTATATATACCCATAGTGTGATTTCACACGGTGTACATGTAATTATTTTTCACAGGTATTGTAATCCCAAGCATTGTACCTAACCATGTGCCGGTAACTCACAATAACACAAGTAAGTCTAAAAATGCATTTTTCTGAGTTCCTGATCATGTTGGCTCCAACAGTTCAAAATGACTGTGAATGCAAGAAAAGTTCTCTGAGTACAGCAGAAGCAGTGGCCACAACAGGAGTAGTGTGTGGTGTGTGTTGCTTCACTGCTGGACTGCTACTTGGTGTTCTACTGACTCAATGTCATGGTCACTGTCATAGGAAGGGGAAGAGAGGCCAGACTGAGATACCTCCTGTTTATGAGGACATTC